CTAACGACCTAGTGCGGAGCGTCGCGATTAATTGCGCGAATAGGGCCGAGAGGGCAACATCGCGGCAGCGTGAGTGGCAGAGTGAGGAGCAGTGCGATGAGTATTGTGCGGCTGAGCCATGAGGGTGCAGGGTCAGGACTATATACTGGATGCATTAATACTTCCCAAACAATCATCTCTCTCAATTTTTACTGTGTGGCCAAAGATGTGTGTGATCTGGCGTTATCATGATGAAAGACCACTTCTTTTCTGTTGATCAATTCCGGCCGTTTTCTATCAATTTATACTACCTTAGTTTCATTAGTTGTTGGCAGTAGAGATCCTACTTTAATTTCATTAGTTGTTGGCAGTAGAGATCCTACTTTAGTTTCATTAGTTGTTGGTAGTAGAGATTCTACTTTAGTTTCATTAGTTGTTGGCAGTAGAGATACTACTTTAGTTTCTTTAGTTGTTGGCAGTAGAGATACTACTTTAGTTTCATTAGTTGTTGGCAGTAGAAATCCGTATCGATGGTATTGCTCGGCGGTAAAAGCTCATAATAAACGATGCTCTTTCAATCCTACCATACACACAGCATCACCTTATTGCGTGTTAATTCGGTAGGTTTCGGTACAGTCTGTGGAGCTTGACCACCCTCTGACCATGATATTTTTGCACGTTCTTGTCATAGGTGATCCACTTTTCATCACCAGTGATCAATATTTTCAAAAATGGTTCGGCTTCATTACGTTTCAACAATAATATAATAATAATAATTCATTTATTTCGGACGAAAAAAAAGAATATAGTGAGTAAGAATATAGTAAGTAAGAGTATAGTGTTAGTAACATATTGATTGACGACACAAGCATGAAACTGCACCGATGGTGGCAATAAGCCAGTCTACAAGGCGGCATGTAGCCGTATCCAGCGAGCCAACATCGGCGGGTCCCAGCGGTCAGCCGCGCATGCGCCTAAGTAGCGTTGCATAGCGCTTGCGCATGATTGCAGCGAGTGTGAGCTTCCGCGAACATGGCGGAGGCGCTGCAGCAGTGCGGCAGACCCTTCAGCACCCTGGACGCGTTATTATTTTGTATACGCAGCTCGCTGTAAGCCTTCCGCGTATAGTCTACCCACAGACTGCACGTGTATAAGGACTGGCAATAAGATTTAAAAAGCGTAACTTCAATAGAGAATCGCAAATGAATCGTGTCATTAGGTTTCTTTCAGTGAGATCGTGTGGCGTGGCACCCAAATATTGAGCTTTTTGAATAACCAGACTTTTTCAAATGGGTCAAAACCAAAGACATTCAAGTAGTAGTAATAAATCGGACATCAGCAACAAAATTGTCACCTCTTACTTATGTCCTATAGGATATATTTCGGATTTGTGTCATTTTAGTCTTAGTGACATCGTCAAAAGCTCAAAACGCATTCGTTTCCTAAGTTTAAAAAATATTTTTTGAAGAATATGTAAATTTGAAGAGAAAATATGCCCGATTGTGCATTAAGGTATTGTAAGTCCCGATATGGAGCAAAAACTGAATGTGATTTCGGTTTATTATCGCAAGAATAATGTGTATTTTATACCCAAAAAAATTTAAATTTTATTATTTCTGGTAGATTGTTCTAGAACATTTATTGTTATATATTTATTAAATTGTATAAGCACCCTCTGTAATCCAGTAACGTCAAGATTTATATATCAAAGAGTTAGTGATTGACAACGTTTATCGATTATTGTTATCGATAAAAAATATTATCCCGGATGCCAATTTAATCATCTACAATATTTAAGGAGGTGATACAATAAACGATACTGTACCGGTACCGATAATGAAATCGGCTGGGCCTGTGTCGGGGCACACGATCGTTGGTCTTAACATGAAACATCTATGTCAGCCAGTATAACCAGAACAACCAGTCAACAAGATAGCCTTTTAAAAAAAAATACAATTCTACAACACGAGGAGGATTGCAGATGCGTTGCCGACCTTTTAAAAAGGAGTAAGCTCGTTTCTTGAAGGTCCCTAAATCGTATTGGTCCATAAAAATTGCCACTGGTAAATAATTCCTAAGAAAATCCCTAATAGATGAGACCGCCAAGCATCCAAATGATGTGGATGGTAACGTAAGTTTTGTCACGATGTGTGTGTGTTGGTGAAATTTGGGGGCTCGAATTAATCCGAATAATTCCTTAGAGTACTCCCCATGTTAAATACGATAGAAAATCGAGCCAATCAAAGAGAACTCGGTCGTCGACGATTCGAGCCGCTCTGCTCTGCAGCCAAGTGGAAGGAGTTCGCACTGGGGAGCCCCAGCCCAGAGATGAGAAAAGTATTCCATGTGAGGCCGAACCTACGCTTGTAAAGTTGCAAACGGTCGCTTTTTTGTTCACGGTAGTGTCCCGCTCTACTGAGTACGCCAAGCTTTTTAGAAGCCAATTTAGCTTTTTCTTCCAAGTGACCATGCTACTGCAAGTCATTCGTTATGTCGACGCCGATGATTCCGCTATTAGCCACGGCAACAAGGAAAGTGCTCTGAAATTTAAGAGATACGACAAAGGTGTTATATTTAACGGTAAACGCGCAAACATGTGAATTTGTACCTTGACCTCTACCTTTTGTGACCTTTAAGTTCAATGCTTTCTTAAAATATGTTACATTTAAAGTGTTTTTTTGTAAAAGAAACGTATTTGAAAAACATGGAGGCGCTTTATTATTGGATTTGACGTTTCACGATATGCCTGCGACGCCGACCGACTAATCATATGCTATTATTATAGCGCTTAATAGTCCTAGTGACGTCATCCAAGATGCTACCAATGTGACTGCTGTTTGAATTGATTCTTAGTTACTGGAAATTAAATATTATATTTCATGAAATTTCATATTATCCATGGCGTTATTCATAACTTACAACGTTTAAATGAATTTTTTTGGTGTGAATGGAGACATAGTAAATAGATTTATACAGTAAAAAAGCATGCATATTCCCTATTATTATATGGTAAAGCAGTACAAACTTAGTAACCTTCAACAACATTATCGATACTGTGATGTCGAAATGGTAACATTCCTAAAACGGGTTTTTACCCTACATTTAGTAGCGTCACTACTGGGGACTAGCTGAAATGTTTTCCTAATAAATATTCTGCGTAGTTTTGCTATATTTAGCTAGAGGGCGTCACACACACGCGAGCTCAAAGTTTTAGTATGAAAACGTTTTCTATGTCCGCTCTATAGTATACCTATATATTTAAATCTCTTTCGTCAAAACTGTTTTGTGGTCAACCCGCAATTCTTCGGCTATGTCGTAACTACTAATATGCCGATCTTGCTTCACTTTTTCACAAATGGCATCGACTTTATCTGTATGACGGCAACCTATGTAAAAACCAAAGCGAGCTCCATTTTTGACATAAAACTTCCACAAGAACCAACTTTGTGCTACTCTTACTGACACTGCATTAGGTCCATAAACGTCACAATTTTTTTTCGCGGCCTGAGTCGCATTTTTTCCTTAGTTGTAATAAAACTTCAGAATCTATCGAATTTCTTAGTTAGATTCACTCATTTTGGTGGAGAGAAAAACAATTGAAGAATGACAGGAAAGTGTTTTTTACTTTCTATTTTACTTTTTCTTAATGATCTTTAGGTGTTGATATTAAAAGCAGCTAGATATAAACAGTACAACCAAAGAGATTTTTCTTCAATTTTATACCAACAAAATACGAAGAAACTTTTTCCCCGACCAATTATGCCATAGTTTATTTGCAAAATACGTAGTTATAATTTGTAATATTATAGACCAACAAAATATATGATAACATATTATAATATAATATGTTGCAAAACAGCCTAGGTCGCTATCGACATTTAATTTGCCTCTGGTTGTCGGGCATTAATAATATTATTACTACTTAGTATTTTTCATAGTTTCAACTTAGTGCTGTAATTGTATTATGCGTAAATGGGTGAAATTTGTGAAAACGTGGTAATCCAAACACAGACAAAGGTTCAAAATCGAAGTTCCAACTTTGGATCATTCTTTTATGGGTAAAATGGGAGTTGAAAAAGTTTTTGTGACTATTCTTTGGAGTGTTAATTGAAATTTCTTCGAAGCACTTAAATATTACAGTTATTATTTCAATTTCTTTTTATTCCATAAAATATATATTACAAAGTCAGCCACTACATTGCATAACGTATAATTAAAAATTTTCTAAGAGAATCACGATAAGAGTATGCTATGAGTTATACTTACTCATAGCAATCCTTTCGACATAGTGTGCAATGTGCTTTATAATTTTTATTTGGAATTAATATCGCGAATGAATAATTTTTCATCCAAAACCTGTACCAGTTGAACCTTGTAAACCTGTAACCATCCTGTACCAGTTGAACCTTGTAAGGCTTCAAAGCCAAATCCTTACGCAAAATTCGCCATGTGGTGGTTTTGGATAACCACAATTGTTGAGAACGTCGAGGAATTGACAAATTTGGATTTTCTTCAACACTGTGGCTCACGGCTGCGATGTTTTCGATTGACGACCCGGTCGAACACGCGTTAGTGTTGGCGCATTTTGTACCGAGCCTGTCGATTCAAATTTAGCGACCAAATTCTTAATAGCGGTCTCAGAAGGACGATTATGTTGTCCGAAAATATCACGAATTTTACGAAACGTAACTTTAACAGAACCACCATTTTCATAGTGGACTTTAATTATTTTAATGCGATTTTCGAGCGAAATTGAATTTATTGTAGCAATTGCCAAAGCATCTGCTACGAATAGGTCAAAAAACTAAATGTCAACACTGTCATGTTTTTGGTGTTGCCCCAATTGAAAAACAAAGTTCTTGTTGAAAAACCCGTTACTAAATAAAGTAACGCCTATTTCTATAAACTATCTTAAGCTAATACTTATCTTATACTGTAAGCGTCGAGTAAATCTGATAAGAGCAATAAATTCTGAGCAAATTGTAAAACAGTTGTAATACATACCTGGATAATTATCATCCAGTCTGCAGCTTGCAGAGACTTGCATCGATCGTTTAAAAAGGTTTCAAACTATTTGACTGCGACACTTTATAAAAGATTTAATATAATAATCTTTAGAACATAATATAACGCAACAACTGCATTTTTGTTATTTTAATTTATTTTTAATAGCAAGATATTTGTGATGTTGTCGGTTTTGAAATCGCCGAGATTAAGACAGTATGCCGTTATTTTATTAGGTACGTATACGTTAAATAAAATTATTGATAATACTAATCATCATTACAACCCACCGCTAGCTCACAGCCGAACAATAACTTCATCTAAAGAAGTTGATTTTCTTTTCGCTATGATCCTTATAGAAAATTAAACGAGGCTTCAAAACATTTAACCTAAATATTTTATTATATTCTACCAACCCACCTCGGCTTTACATGGGTAGGATTTATTAATGTGGAGTCATTTTTTTAATAGTTAATCACCAACCACCATCTTTAAATTATTCGACTTCAGAAAAAATACTACATGTTTTTGGATGAAGTTTACTAGATCACTCCTGGCATTGCTTTCTATTTGTTTGTGAAGTTTTATTATATTCGATTCAGCTATTCAGAAGATTAGATAAAAAAAAATCAAATTGTTATTCATGTCTTGCAACCACCTCAGCCCATTAAAATGCAGTTATTTCGATATTACAGACGGCCACTTCAATTTTATTTATACATGATTATTTTTCAGAGTAACCAAATTATATATTGAAGTTGAAATAAATAAATTATTATATACTGATATAAAAAAAAAAAAAAAAAAAAAAAAAAAAAAAAAAAAAAAAAAAAAAAAAAAAAGTAAAGTAGTAAGCTGAAGTGGCAGTGGGCCGGCCATATAGCTCGAAGAACCGACAACCGATGGGGAAGAAAGGTTCTCGAGTGGCAGCCTCGTACCGGTAGGCGAAGTGTAGGGCGTCCCCCCACGAGATGGAGTGACGACCTGGTAAGACATGCAGGAAGTCGATGGATGCAGGTGGCTCAGGACCGTGTTTTGTGGCATTCTTTGGGGGAGGCCTATGTTCAGCAGTGGACTTGTGAAGGGCTGTAATGATGAATGATGAATGATGATACTGATATAAAATTTTTTGAAAATACGAGTAAACAAGGCTTCTACTTTTATTTGAAAGTATCCCAAATTGAATCTGATTTATAGGCAACAACTACTTTTACCTTTTACGCGCGCACCTGTGCTTGTGTGATTCAATTCACGTTTTCGTTTCTCAAGTTTTTGCCTACTGTTTACTTTCTTAGTGACACGCTTACTACTAATGCTTAATATAATAACTATATGACGCGAATTGTAACTCCAATTTTCCTTTTACATTTTAACGGGCGTAGGATCGTCATAATAAATAAAATTTAAAAATATATTTTTGTTTATCAACGACGTAACCGACGACTGTTGAAATTGGTGACTGTAACGGGTGAATTATTACAGCGTATTTAAAAAATTGGAATAAACTATTTTCAACAAAATTACGCAAACCTTAAAATGGAATCCGTTTCTCTTGTGGGTGTGTCACTATTTAAGTTTAAGTTCACTGCACTTGAATAGTTTATTTATTTGGCAATTGTTCTTCGATTGGTAGGTTAATTACGTTACATACGTTAATTTATTGATGCAGTAAGGACTCACTTTAGTATCTTTGTATGTACCACGTGAACTTTTATTGCTTAAAATGTAAAATAATGCATTACCGCGCATTTTTAATTTAAAAGGTAAAAATTACAGATTGTTTGAGATTTTTTTAAATTAATTTTTTTTTACCATTTGCCACATATTACTATATTACTTATTCTGAATCGTCTCTGCTTTGGCCGGTTATTGCAAAATAATCCTGTATGTATGGATAACAGATCATCCGCATGCAGAAGCAATGTAGCAAATATGCAAATTAAGACTGTACTCTACACACACAAACACACACACACACACACATATATATATATTCACACACACAATATATCGTAGTTATATATATTAACTTGACTACGTTCTTATAATTGTATGTATAACCTTAAAATATAAACATGATAATTTTTTTTATTCACATACTCATACAAAAATACCCGGTACTTAATTGCCTATCAATAATGCAACGTTTCATCGTTAACATTAGTAAGAGTTATTTATTTTAATTTATCCTACGACATTCCATTGTATGATTTGAGTTTTGTGAGCAACAACAATATCGAGTTTGGAAGTCAAACATCATTATCAACGTAGTGGACAAATTTAATACGGTATTAAAAAAGTCCCGTTTTCTTGTAAGGTTTCACCACCGGGAATGCATGAGTATATATAATAATATAAAATAAAATGCCATTATTTACTACCTAGTTATGTAAAATATGAAATAAAAGAGGAATCAGCTGATGGTTAGTGGATGGTATGGTCCATAAACATCTACATCTATCCTCAATTAAGAATCAAAATGCGGACGCGTTGTCACCACTGAGAATTAATATGGAAAGCCTCGGTTTTAGTAAAAATGTTCGCCTTTTATCTACACCTTATGAAACACGCTGCCAACTAAACACAGATAATCTGTGGGAGCGTATTATTACCTAGATCGAGCCGACGATCTATTCGTGCTACAACCATAATATAGCTGCAGCATGGCTCTAAAATTTAAAACGTGCTGTTATAAATACAGAATTTATAAAAATATATAACATAATCTTAATAAATCGTAAATATCATTTTAGTATAGCTATATACTAAAATGGCCAGAGCATCCACTTGATATCAGGTGGACCGTGTGCTCGTTTGTCACCCTTATTCTATGGAAATAGTCCACCACCACCTCTCAAATATCTAATATTAATAATTAATATGAAATATTTATAATAAATATTAAATTACATAAATCTTAATATTATTCGTTTTGATGTCTGGATGGCCCAGTCTGGCTCAGTCAGACAAATTTCCTTCAGAATCTTAAGGCTTGCACTTGAATATGACGTCGAATATATTATACTATATAAACTCTTACATCGTCCGTGGTAAAATATGTATAAATTTCGTCAAAAAAGTAGAATAAGATCTAGTCACGGATTGATAATAAATGAAACTGAGATAAGTATTTAATTACAGATTATACAAGGCATACAAGCCTTACTCATTTTATGGTATTTAATCTGCAGACTATCTTAAAATATCTACAAACAGTTGAGCTTTAGGTAAAGAAAAAATTACGACCTTATGTGCAGTGACCTTGTGTAAGATGCAAGGAGAATGTTTTATTATTCTTACGTTATCCTATGAGTAGGTATTTAAAATATTTCATATATTTTTTTATACAAAGAAAGAAATGTTTCCTTCTCTAACCAAAAGAAAAAGAACGTAACGAAAATGTTTATTTAGTTTTATTCAAGTAGGTATGTAAGTTACAAATGAGTATGCAATCCACCTGACGGTAAATCGATACTGTGCCATAGATATCGATTAAAATCAAAGCGCAGACATTTGGTTTAGCCTGAGGACTTCTCACTATGCTGCCTTGGAGTATTGCTACTGGGTTACTTGGGTGTAAAGAAAAAAATCTTGCTTTCTATTTCCATGTTTTACGCTTGAAGCGAAATTCAAAAACACCTACAAAGTATATACAAATAAACAAGAAATTTGCAAAAGTATAGTCTATATCGTAGTATGGCTTAGTTAATGATATGGCTAAATTAATCACATAAATTTCTTCCCACTGCACGGTTCTGAACCATAACGAGTCATGTACTCATTAACTTTCTGCTTCTTTAAAAAATAAATATAAAATCACAAAAAGTCAACGGAAGTTCAAAAAAATGTTACATGTTATTATCACCGCTTCTCTGTTCGTTTAAACAGGATAAATCGCTAGACGTCAGTCTGTAAAGTAAGTTGCAAGAAAGAGGATAAAAAGTGAAGCTACGGTTTTTGTATGTCCCACTACTGGACACATGCTTACTCTCATTTCTGAAAGAGATTAAGCGCAAGGAAGTGCTCCTAAGCCTTCATGATTTCTCAAAGAATGATATGATACTACAAACTTGTAGCAGGAACAAAATCACAGGCAGAATTTAAAAAAAATCAGCATCGTCGAGTACACTAAATACTATTTATAGCCTTTATAATTAGCAAAAGAAATAGCTTTAGCATTGGTTTTTAAATAACATACTCTGTTGAATGGTAAAGTGTTTGAAATTTCCACGAAAATTTAAATATTTATTGAATCACGTCAGAAAGTCTATCAAATCTCCCCCGTTATTAAAATATCTCATGATTAGTTTATTTCATGAAAAAGCCCTCTATCATCCGGTTATATGCGTATATTGGTATTCTTATCTGTTTACAGTTAACTTTATTTCACCACGTTTTTGTTGATTTGTTTATCTGTCTGTCTATCTGTCGTTCCGTATTTTAACTCAAATTTCGAACACTTCCCGATTATCTAGAGATTTGAAATTTTGAACATAGCTCAGAATTGGATGACAATGTAGGAATATGAAAAAAAATGTGGTATATTAGATTTATTTGGTACAAAATAAAAGAAAAAGTGTGTGTAGTTACGTACGCACGTAGGAAGTTATACTTCTTTAGCGTAACAAAAGAAAAAAAACTTGAGAGACAAGAATTACCCAACAATTGACAACAAAATCATGGTGTCGTTTTTAGGTGTCAATGTGCTCGCATCGTATTAACAGGGTCGCATCTTCATTTTGATTATTAATCGAGCATAGATGTGGGTATTTATGGGCCACAGAATCCACTTACCACTTGGTGAACTGCAACTACTAATTTGTCCTATTTGTTTAAATAAATAAATAATACGTTTATTTCGGTAATCTTGTTAACAACATAATACTGAGACTTCCCAATGAGTAATCAGAGGATACTCGTGTTGGGAATGACCCGCTACTTCCCTTAAGAATTACAAAAAAGTAAGATTACAAAAAGGTTAACCTCTAGAAAATTTGTAATTAGTATGTGTATATTTAGGAGTGTGTGAATTTGAGTGTAGGAGTGTTGTTGTATGTATGATGTGAGGGTGTGTGTGTGTATGTGTTGGTGGATGAAGAAAATATAAGTAAGAAGACTAGTTGCCTTGCAAAACAAAATTTTACTGATTTGTTCAGTGAAATTTAATTTTGCATGATTCTTTTTTTGAAAGGCGCCATACTGATAAACTGTTACCTGTAAATGTATAAGATTTTGGTGAGATAGATTTCAGACAATTCTACTCGTCATAAGTCAGTGTATACAACCAATGCATTAAAGTTATTTTTGCATATATTTAATTGCATAGGATATATTTTAAGTATTTTATTTTGTTTATTATATATAAAAGCAGTCTGACTTGGGTACCGTCTAATAGCAAAGACAGTACGTACAAGAGGTATAGGCAGAGGTAGAGGTATAGGTAGATTCATTAAATGGCAATGGCAAACATAAAGCTTAGAGAATCTATAAGGTTTGGAATACATGACCTTTATAAGAGACCTCTGTGCTCTTTCCAGATCTAAAAAGTTGGTCTTGGTGGCTCCTCTCGAGATTGGGATGCAATAGGAAATTATCGATTGTGCTAAGACATTGCTGACCTTAATGATTTAAATACTTTTACCTATAAAAAAATACTTTACGTAACTTTGCTTTTTTTCCAGTTAACCTAAGCGTGCTTACAACTGGTATGAACTTGGGATGGCCGTCCCCAATGATTGTAAAGCTAAGAAATGCCACGGAGACGCCTCTATACCGCCCTATTACCGAGGAGGAGGGATCCTGGATTGTGTCTGTGGGATTCTTATGCAGTGTTTTCAGTAAGATTTCGATTCAATTTCTTTTTTGATCTCGATATTAACCGTACATTTATTAATTTTGACGAAGATAAAAAGAGAATAGTACTCTTATTATTATTTCATTAAAGTTTTTTCAACCCACATGAGAACACACATTTCTTATGAAATTCCAATTTTCGTTCCGTGGGTGTCGTAAAAGGCGACAGAGGGAATCATTCCAGGATATAGGCAGTAGCGTCTTCATAATAACTACTAAAAATTAAAACAAGGCAATCTATGGGAGGAGGAGCCTTGTCAATATTGACTTGTAATAGACTGTAACGCCATAGTAGATAAACTAAAATGAGAGGGTATTTATGTATACATTATCACGTTCTTCTTGTAAAATGTGATACGAAGAACTGGTTTTTAATACATGGATATAATAAGGAATTTTCGGCCAATCAAGCTTCGGGTGGTTAAAATTAGTAAGCGATAAGAGAAGATAGTGATTCAGCGAAAATTGTATAATAAAAGTGAGTTGCAGATAATTATGCCAGATTACAGGTATAGTAATGAAATTTTATTTTTACAGCAAATATCCCGCTAGGGATGTTACTGGACTGCATAGGCAGAAAATACTGCGTGATACTTACATGCGTGCCGAAGATAATCGTAAGCATCCTCTTCATCTTCGCTACAGATGTGTGGATGCTGGTACTGGGCCGTGCCTTTATTGGTATAGCGGATTTCTTTCTATTTTCCGTGGTCTCTGTTTACGCTTCGGAAATCGCAAGTGTGAGTGCTAAGCTAATTTAATAGTAATATGACCGTCATTAATTTATAAATATTATAATACTTAATACTACGCAAAATAATTCCACGCGACTTCACCCGCGTGGAATTATTTTGCGTGGAATCCTAAAATAAAAGTAGCCTAAGTTACTCCTTATAACATCAGATATCTGCTAGTGAAAGTCCCATCCAAATCGGTTCACAGGATTTTGCGTGATGCGTGTTCAGACGGACGTCGTGTTTTTTTTCCGACTTATCATATTATATTTTATCGTTATATTTATGCCAATTTACACAGTATATTTATTAATTATAGCTTATGTGTTATTCTAATGTATGACCTACATAATTGTAAAGTTTTATTCAAATCCATTTAGTAGTTTATGCGTGAAAGAGTAACAAGTAGGATAGTAGGAAGTAGGATACTAGGATTTACATAATTTTTGAATCTCGATCATTATTTAGTCTCCAGGCGACAACTAATGTTTATAACAAGTGATTGTTTTTATGATTTTAATATACCCCGTTTAGTGTCATATTCTTACAATGTCATCCGATTATGAGCTAGTTCGAAATTTCAAGTCTGTAGCTCATCGGGAAGTGCTCGAAATTTGAGTTTCAAGATTCCACCCGGAACTACAGACAGACAAATAGACAGACAAACAAAAAAATTATTTAATAAAAACGTAGTGAAATTATGTCGGAAACACCACATTCAATTAAACATGTATCATTTTACAGAAGGACATGCGAGGCATTCTTTGTACCTTCCAGCAAGTTTTTTCATCACTGGGCATAGTCATATCTTTGTCGGTTGGACCGTTCACATCATATAGAACTTTTAGTATAGTGTTTGCTGCAATAATCTTGATCACAAGTATTCCGCTGCTCTTCTTGCCTGATAGCCCGTACTTTTTGTACTCGAAAGGTAAAATGTATTACATTCATTTCTTACTCATACCATTTTTTATACGTGGTGGAGTCATGCTGCAGCTATTATTAGTATAGTTGTAGCACGTATTGGTCGGCTCGACCGGGGAAGGACCACGTTCTCACAGAATACCAGCGTAAAATAGCAGCTCAATGCTGCTGTGTTTCGAATGGTGAGTGTAGAGAAACGGAGACCCTTTTTATTGGAAACGAGGCATTCCATCATAGTTCTCACGGGTGACAACAGGCACGTGTATGAAATGAAACACCGCCAACTTCTTGCCTCCAAGTTGCTACTGAGAATTTTTTGTCAGAAAACTCAGTAAGTAATTTTGGCTGGACCTGGAATTCGAACCCGGGAACACTAAGGTCGTAAGCGTGACTGTTGGTATTACCAGCGATGCAGTCCAATAATAATACTACAGCAGTTAATGCTAATATAATTAATCTCTCAACTAAGGTAGTGATTGCAGTCGATGTTCTGTCGAGGACTGTCATAGATAGATGTTGAAAGAGAAGATGGAATACAATATCATCGTAAATGTTATCATCAATATCTACACGGCCAATCAAAATCAAAGTAAAAAAATGGATTACCAACCCGTATTCCAGCAGTTCATCGCCCAGCGTAGCAACTATGCCGAATAACTTTAAAATTTGTAATATTTATGTAAGTTTAAAAAATATATTTTTAGGAAAAAACAACAAAGCAATGGAAGTGCTAAAGTTACTTCGAGGCACAGATCAAGCTGCCAAAGAAGAAATTGCAGTGTATGCGATATCGATGAACAATGAAAAAGTCGATAAAATGAAACTATTGAAGAATCGCCTTGTACTAAAGTCTATCGGAATATCAATAGTATTCTGCGCGGGATCGCAGCTTATTGGTTTCAACGCTGTATCTTTTTATTTGCAAACGATTTTAATATCGACCAAAACGAATGTTATGCCAGAGTTAGCGTCGGTGATAATAGGGTTGATACAGCTTTTTGCGAGTTTCTGCACGACTCTTGTAACTGAGAGGTTTAACAGAAAACATATATTGATTCCATCGCTTATAGGCATGCTGATTGGAATGGTGAGTTCCGTATTAAAACGAAGAAACTATTTTACTTACATCACCATTGTCACCGTAACTTGACTGCGTATCACAAGGATTTCTTACGTGAACGCCACATAATGAATAAAAGTATTTTCTCTTTTATATATGGTATAACCAGCTATGTTAAAGTTGTAGCACGAATGAGTCGACTAGACCAAGGTAGGACCACGATCTTAAGGAATACTAACGTAAAATAACAGCTTAATGCTGCAGTGTTTCCCGTTACCGTATACCCCTTTTACTGGAAATGAGGCATTCCATCTTTGTCCACAGGGGTGACAACGCATCTGCATTTTCATTCTTATTTGAGAATAGATGTACATGTGCATGAGCTATAGTATCCACTTACTATCAGGCGGACTATGTGCTCGTTTGTCACCCTTATTCTATAAGTATAAAAATAACCGGCCAAGTACGACTCGGACTCGCGCATGAAGGGTTCCGTACCATCGTAATACAAGTTTCTAGTAAGGAAGCCCCATTTAATTTTAATTTATTTTATTTTTTATTATTTTTTGTTATAGCGGCAACAGAAATACACATTCTGTCTACTAATTACGGATCATGAGATACAACACACTGACAGACAGATGGACGGACGGACGGACAGCTAAAGCTTAGTAATAGAGTCCCGTTGGTTACCGTTTGGGTACGGAACCCTAAAAACTACTTTAAATTCTCTACATTTTAATTGCTTCACCTACTGCTTTACCTATGACTAAGGTCTTTGATATCCTGATGTCAAGGCTACCCTAGTTTATTAAGGTGAAACACATCACACAACACACACAGTGATAATGCAAATCGGATGTAATGGTTGGGTAGACTCTGAACATGGTAATGTTGCAACATGGTAATAATGCAAGTCTGATGTAATGGTTGGAACGACTCTGAACATGGTAATGTTGAACCATGATAATAATGCAAATCTGATGTAATTGTTGGGTCGTCTCTGAACATAGTAATATTGCAACATGGTAATAATGTAAATCTGATGTAATGATTGGAACGAATCTGAACATGGTAATGTTGCAATATGATGATAATGTAAATCTGATGTAATTGTTGGGTCGACTCTGAACATAGTAATGTTGCAACGTGGTAATAATGCAAATCTAATGTAATGGTTGGAACGACTCTGAACATGGTTATGTTGCAGCATGGTAATAATTCAAATCTGATGTAATGGTTGGAACGACTCTGAACATGATAATGTTGCAGCATGGTAATAATGCAAATCTGATATAATTGTTGGGTCTACTCTGAAAATAGTAATATTTCAACATGGTAATAATGCAAATCTGATGTAATGGTTGGGTCGACTCTGAACATAGTAATATTGCAACATGGTAATAATGCAAATCTGATGTAATGGTTGGAACGACTCTGAACATGGTAATGTTGAAACATGATAATAATGCAAATCTGATGTAATTATTGGGTCGACTCTGAACATAGTAATATGGCAACATGGTAATAATGCAAATCTGATGTAATGGTTGGAATGAATCTGAACATGGTAATGTTGCAATATGATGATAATGCAAATCTGATGTAATTGTTGGGTCGACTCTGAACACAGTAATGTTGCAACGTGGTAATAATGCAAATCTGATGTAACGGTTGGAACGACTCTGAACATGGTAATGTTGCAACATGATAATAATGCAATTCTGATGTAATTGTTGGGTCGACTCTGAACATGGTAATGTTGCAACATGATAATAATGCAAATCTGATGTAATTGTTGGGTCGACTCTGAACATAGTAATATTGCAACATGGTAATAATGTAAATCTGATGTAATGATTGGAATGCATCTGAACATGGTAATGTTGCAATATGATGATAATGCAAATCTGATGTAATTGTTGGGTCGACTCTGAACACAGTAATGTTGCAACGTGGTAATAATGCAAATCTGATGTAACGGTTGGAACGACTCTGAACATGGTAATGTTGCAGCATGGTGATAATGCAAATCTGATGTTACGGTTGGAACGACTCTGAACATGATAATGTTGCAGCATGGTAATAATGCAAATCTGATGTAATGGTTGAGTCGACTCTGAACATGGTAATGTTGCAACATGATATAATGCAAATCTGATGTAATGGTTGGTATAATTAATAGAATCAGGCGTTACTTTGCGGAAATCCATTATATTAAAGCTTTTACAAAAATTTACTTCGCAAATATCCGCGTTATAAAATAGAATGATGTGTCTTACCTAGTATGAAGAAGCACCTCCCGCCCTCCCTCAATTGCGTGCACTATCCCCGTCGCCACTCATCCCAGCGTTAGGAGTAGCAGTGCTGGGATTAGTGGTGACGGGGATAGTGCACGCAATTGAGGGAGGGCGGGAGGTGCTTCTTTATACTAGGTAAGACACATCATTTTATTTTATAACGCGGATATTTGCGAAGCAAATTTTTGTAAAAGCTTTTATGTAATGGTTGGGTCGACTCTGAACATAGTAATATTGCAACATGGTAATAATGCAAGTCTGATGTAAAGGTTGGAATAAATCTGAACATGGTAATGTTGAAACATGATAATAATGCAAATCTGATGTAATTGTTGGGTCGACTCTGAACATAGTAATATTGCAACTTGGTAATTATGTAAATCTGATGTAATGGTTGGAACGACTCAGAACATGATAATGTTGCAGCATGTTAATAATGCAAATCTGATGTAATTGTTGGGTCGACTCTGAACATAGTAATATTGCAACATGGTAATAATGTAAATCTGATGTAATGATTGGAATGAATCTGAACATGGTAATGTTGCAATATGATGATAATGCAAATCTGATGTAACGGTTGGAACGACTCTGAACATGGTAATGTTGCAGCATGGTGATAATGAAAATCTGATGTTACGGTTGGAACGACTCTGAACATGATAATGTTGCAGCATGGTAATAATGCAAATCTGATGTAATGGTTGAGTCGACTCTGAACATGGTAATGTTGCAACATGATAATAATGCAAATCTGATGTAATTGTTGGGTCGACTCTGAACATAGTAATATTGCAACATGGTAATAATGTTAATCTGATGTAATGGTTGGAACGACTCTGAACATGATAATGTTGCAGCATGATAATAATGCAAATCTGATGTAATTGTTGGGTCGACCCTGAACATAGTAATATTGCAACATGGTAATAATGTAAATCTGATGTAATGGTTGGAACGACTCTGAACATGATAATATTGCAGCTTGGTAATAATGCAAATCGGATGTAATGGTTGGGTCGACTCTGAACATGGTAATGTTGCAACATGGTTATAATGCAAGTCTGATGTAATGGTTGGAACGCCTCTGAACATGGTAATGTTGAAACATGATAATAATGCAAATCTGATGTAATTGTTGGGTCGACTCTGAACATAGTAATGTTGCAACGTGGTAATAATGCAAATCTGATGTAATGGTTGGAACGACTCTGAACATGATAATGTTACAGCATGGTAATAATGCAAATCTGATGTAATGGTTGAGTCGACTCTGAACATGGTAATGTTGCAACATGATAATAATGCAAATCTGATGTATTGTTGGGTCGACTCTGAACATAGTAATATTGCAACATGGTAATAATGTTAATCTGATGTAATGGTTGGAACGAATCTGAACATGGTAATGTTGCAATATGATGATAATACAAATCTGATGTAATGATTGGAACGACTCTGAACATGTTAATGTTGCAACATGGTAATAATGAAAATCTTATGTAATGGTTGGTACGACTCTAAACATGGTAATGTTGCAACATGGTAATAATGCGAATCTGATGTAATGGTTGGAACGACTCTGAACATGGTAATGTTGCAACATGGGAATAATGCAAATCTGATGTAATGTTTGGAACGACTCTGAACATGATAATGTTGCAACATGGTAATAAACTAAATCTAATGTAATGGTGGAACGACTCTGAACATGGTAATGTTGGTACTTGATTATAAACCAAATATTATGTATTGGGTGGAACGATTCTGAACATTTTGACATACTGCAGATTTACACTATGTGGATGTGGTAGAAAAAAATTAAAACAGATTACAGAGTTTTGTCTTACCTTAATCATTTTTGGGTTAAAAGCGATGTTTTCTACGAGATCATAATTTTTTCGTTTATGCGAAATGTGTCACAATGAAGGAATTTAGATTTGTGTTTTGTTTTATACTAGCTGACCAGGCAAACGTTGTTCTGCCTTTTTCGACGACTCTTCCTATGAAAAAATCCTTAAATTCGCAATAAAAAAATATTGAAGGTCACTTATCAGGATAAAAAATATCCTACCTCTCAGGTCGGACCAAACTGCACACAGTTTTGCATTTCATTGAAATCAGTTCAATAGTTTAGGAGTTCATCGCGGACAAACAATGTGACACGTAATTTTTATATATAAAGATTTATCATAGGAACTTTAACTTGCAGGTTGGACTTGGCATATTTTTTAAAATAAGAGAGAACACACAAGAAGTGTCCGGCTTCATGAATTACTTGCCTCTAATATCGCTGATTCTCGTCGTCTACTGCTACAGTGCAGGTATTGGTGCTACATTTTCAAAGATTTTATTTAACTTGCAACGTTTGTATGTTTGTTAGGGTTAAATCTTGGTACTTAATTTTAAAGCTAATTGAGCTGAAATGTGTGTGTGTGAAGAAGAGCGTATGACAATTCGTGAATAGGAATAAAGATTGAGTATTATTAGGAAGTACTTATTACAGTATATTATCATCATCATTACAGCCCTTTACAAGTCCTATATATAAATATATATATATATATATATATATATATATATATATATATATATATATATATATATATATATACATATATATATACATATAGGCCTTCCCAAGGAATGCCACATTGGCCAGCCCATTGACATTTCACTTTAATAATCCGTTGGGCAATGTCAGTTACTCTGGTTCTACTGCGGTATCCTCAATAACAGCGCTTATTGTAATACATAATTATAAAATTACATAGGTATTAAAAGCTATCGAAATCTAAGTAACGAGAGCATGTTTAGTTGTTCCACATCTAAATTATATAAAAATGCATTTTTCAATTTAATTAATTAACATCGCAGCGAAACTTTTTTCTTCTTTGGTATTGTCTTGTATCCAGTAAAAAGGGTCTACGGTTTTCTACACTCACTATACGAAACGCAGCACGTTAAGTTGCTATTTTATGCTATTTTTCCATTCACGCCTGCAAATAATTGTTCGGTGTCTGGTTATTTCCGTGTGCAATTTATATGACGTTTTTACGATACAGAAGGAATTCTTATTATGGGGTACCGATTATTTTAATTTAAAAATATACACTATACCAGGCATTATTAATGTTTTCGTGGAAGACCGAAGCCGATGCCGCACTGAGGATCCGATCTCTTTACATTTGCAGCGTCTTGAGTCTAATAGGTCAACGAACTTCAAATCCTACGTACTCCAGGTTCCTACAAAACACAAAGCGACATTCCTCGCTCCCGATTTCTGGCCCTCTGGGGTAGTGTTTCGCCGATACAGGGACACGCCAAAGAAAAAAGTTCCCTAAATAGTGTTATGTCTATATTTTATATATATTTTTAGGTTAAGGTATATATTACTATGGGCCAATGTTCTTAATTTTTAAGTCCTTGATGCCTGAAATAAAGTTATTGTATTGTATTGTATTGTATCATTAGAACTTGTGCAGGCTCTTTCCATAGGAAGATTAACCGAGGAGTCACATCATTTATGTTGTCAGGCCATATCAATATTGGTTTCCGTTTTTTTTTCTTTAATTTCTGTTTTTTTTTTCAGGAATGGGTTCTATTATATGGGTAATAATCGCAGAATTATTCGAAGGACCCGCAAGAGCGGTCGGCGTTACAACCAGCTTTATAATCACCGCGTTCTTTATATTCCTCACCACAAAATATTTCGCCGCACTCACGCTTGATATTGGACCAGCGATCACGTACTGGTTGTTCAGTGGTGCTTGTGCAATTGTCTGTTTGTTTATTTATTGTTGTGTTCCCGAGACTAAGGGTAAAAGTTTTAGTGAGATACAGGAGGCTTTAGGTGATAGAGAGGCGAATGACAAGGTGAAAGAAAGTTTATCCTAAATATCAATTACGTTTTTAGAATGAATTGTTCTTTACGTTTTGTTATTGTGATAGTTTTGTGCTAAGGTTCCTAATTTGCGCTGATATGCATTTTATTTAATTTATTTAATAAGCAAAATGTTATAACTAGGTACGCAAAAAGAAATTATGCGTAAACGCGGGTCTTGAGAGAGCTATATGAAATTCTTCAATCTTCTTAAGAGCTTACATTAGTAGCACTCGAATGCAAGTGTTTGAACATAACTATTTCATATATAAGAATCGTGCTTAAGCGATTGTTAATATTGGGTCGGGGAAAAAGTTTTTCGTATTTGATATATACAAATTCAAGATTTTTTTTTGTCAAAGTTTAATTACATTTAATTATAATATATGTGCCATTTTGTTCCATAACTTGTTACCATATTGAAGGTAGTGACATAATCTCGTTGCTGTAGAAATTTTGGAATTCTTGATCAAAAAATGCGACAAATAGTTTTGACAGTAGTCTGTTGATGTTAACCTAACACTACCCAAAGAATTCTGAAGAGACAGAAACATGTGAAAATCTGGTGGATGCATTAATACTTCCCAACCAAGCTCTCTCAATTTTTAATGAGTGGCCAAATATATGTGTGATCTGGCGTTATCATGACGACAGACCACTGCTATTCTGTTAATCAATTCTGGCAGTTTTTCATCAATTCCTTCATTGAGTCTCCTTAGTTGGTGGCAGTAGAGATTTTAATCGATGGTTTTGCTCGGCGGTAAAAGCTGATACTAAACGGTGCCCTTCCAATCCCACCATACACACAGCATCACCTTATTGCGTGTTAATTCGGGTTTCGCTACAGTCTTTACAGCTTGACTACTCTTTGAATATGATCTGTTTCGCACGTTATTGCCATAGGTATCCACTTTTTATCACCAGTGATCAATCTTTTCATAAACGGTTCGGTTTCATTACTTTTCAATAGAATCGCAAATGAGTACACGATTCCATTATGTTTCTCACAGTGAGCTCGTGTGGTACCCAAACATCGCGCTTTTTTGTATAACCAGACTTTATCAAATGGGTCAAAACTGTGAAGTGGTCAACCCTTAATTCTTTGGCTATGCCGTAACTAGTAATATGCCGATCTTGCTCCTCTTTATCAAAAATTGTATCGACTTTATCCGTATGAGAGCGACCAGAGCAAGCTGCATCTTTGACATCAAAATTCCCGAACTGAAAACGCTTGAACTAACTTTGTGCTGCTTTTACTGACACTGCATTAGATCCATAAACGTATTCCAATTTTTTTTTCGCGACAGGAGTAGCATTTTTCCTTTTTTGTAATAAAATTTCAGAATGTATTGAATTTCTTCGTTAGATTCATTCATTTTGGCGGACAGAAAAACAATTGAAAAATGGAGGGAAAGTGTTTTACTTTTTATTTTTATTTTTCTTAATGTATTAGAAAATTAAATTTATATTAAATTGAGCCAGATACGAATAGTACAACTAAAGAGATTTTTCTTCAATTTTATACAAACAAAATACGAAGAAACTTTTTTCCTGACTTATTACCAAAATCTTCGTAAATATTTAAATGTCTGTGCAAAAAGGCTAACGTTTTTAATAACTAGTAAAAGTATTCATTAATTTTTTAGTTTTCCTGCTGTATTTCACTTTCAACTGCACATTACTTAATATACAGATCTATTTTGTAATAACCGGCCAAAGTTGCAGAAAAGGTTCAGAATAATTAATATAGACAAATGGTGAAAAAATCTTTCATTAAAATATCTCAAAAATTCTGTCCTTTTTATCTTTTAAATTAGAAATACGTGGTAATGTATTATGTTAACTGATTGTCATTCATAAATATCTATTTTACTACGTACGCATACATTCGTGAGGGTCGATCGGTCAGTAAAACGTTTTGAATTGAATCGCACACGGAGGAGCGCGCTTACGTTTAATTGCTGCCCATAAATCACATTAAATTTGCGATAGTTGCAAATAAAAGTAGAAGCCTTATTTACTAGTATTTTCAAAAACAGTAATAACGGTATATCATTATTTATATTATATTTAAACGTAACTTTAAAATTTGGCTACTCTTTGAAAAATAACCCTGTATAAATTTGCAAAATATTAAATTAACGCTTTTCCTTGAAAAAGAAAAAAAAAACTCCGCTATTAACTCTATTATTAAGGCATATTTGAAATCATACAGAATTCACAGCTCATTCAGTCAATCATTCAGTAAATATTTATTGGTAACATTTTAATTCTTTGGCGACTATCTCTACTCTGTGAGACTTTTTGACCACAGACTATTACAATTTTGATCTATAATGATAAATAGGTAGAGTCTAAAAATTGCAATCACCTAAACCTAATATACTTGAATTATCGATTAATTAAAGAATTTTGTAATATATAATTTAATAAAGTTCTGGATCATTTGTATCCAATTAGTAAAAATATGTAATGTAATCTACAGAATTATTACTGTAGGTGTGGTAAGTAATACATTTTGCCAAATAAAGTGCTTACATAGTTCTCTCATTGCAACGCATTTTATTGACAGGATTTATAAATAATATATTGAATCTTATATTATTTGAAAGTTTTTTTTTTTTATAAAACGTAGTGATTTAAAATTCTTTTGGTTTTTATTTTTAAGCGTAACAAATAATGTTTACGCGAACACCATACTACAAAATAGTTTTATGGATTTAGTCGCGTTTATTTTTCATCACATAACAAAAGCCAGGATTTTAATCACAGAGAACTTTTTATGCAGTTGAAATTATAATATTAATTTAAAAAAAAACTTCAGACAATATTAAAAATAATGCGCAAAATGCTTTGAAAATATTTTCATTAAATTAAATAGGTATAAACTTTCTTACAAAAGGTTACGTAAAAAATTGCTAAATATAAATTTTGTAACATACAATTTCTGTAACAGTTTTTCGATTATATTGAATTTACTTGCTTATAGGTATTTTGTAACTATTAAAGTCATATTTCGCATTGAATTTTGCTTTGTATATTGTACTACGTAGCTACTAGAAAGAATGCAAAGACTTGGTTGTTTGCAACACGAGTTACTTAGTCTGTGCCATGAAATGCTTCTCTGTGGTTCCTTTCAACAACGCCCCGTACTGCCGCACACATTGTGTTCATGATCTCTGTTCTAGTACGTAGTACATCTTAGTTAAATTATTTCACGACAACATATTGAGATTCAAAATGCAATAAATTATTTGTGGTCGCACATATTTGTATTATTTGATTCCCTGTTTATATTAACTATATTTTATATTAACTACATCACTTTCCCCTTCTCTGCACATTGTTTGGCTGGGGTACAGGCAATGGTAGCTTTGTGCTCCTGCTCACACTTCACGTCCTGTGCATATGCATTATTATCCTGTGCATATTTATTAATATGATATAAATGCGGAATGCTGACACCGTCATCAGTTGAAGATTTTCTTGAACTTTTCTTTAGGTGCGGACTCCTTTGCCTTGGATTTCGTCTGGGTTAGTACTACCTTCTTAGCTTCTTACCTATTTCTGCCTCCAAAAGCACAATGCTGTGTATCATCCAGAGCTCTTATTGAATAGAATATAATATAATACAGTAGAATGGAATAGAAATTAAACGAATAGAATAGAAAAGAAGAGAATAGAATAGAATGGAATAATATGGAATTACTCATCTAAACCGCATCATTTAAATTAGGTGCTGTACTCCTTACTAGTAAATTTTTTTAAATAATAAATGATAGTCAAATTGACAAAGATCAGCTAGAGAAAAAAACAATTTCGTTGATTTAATCTGACTGGTGAAAAAATATAAAAATGTCAAAGCAAAAATATGAAAATGTAGCAGCTTACGGATATCTTTATTTTTGCTGTGAATATTATGCATTAAATTACAGACTAAGGAGGTTACCTAAAAATCGTGACATTTGGCGCCCCGATCAAGGGTGAATCGGTACTTGTCACTAGACTCCCGCAAATCGGGACGTCGAGCGCAAATCGGGACACCTGGCAACACTACAAATGAAAAAAATCCCATCTAGATCGGTGCGCCAATCGAACGAACGGGAAACACGCTGAAGCAAACACATCCATGGGCGTTAAAACGTTATCAGCTAAGGATCTACCTTTTATGAGCTTGTAATAAATAAAGTAATATCTATTTCCATAAATTATCTTAAGCTAATACTTATCTTATACTGTAAGCTCCGAGTAAATCTGATAAGAACAATAAATTCTGAGCAAATTGTAAAGCAGTTGCGATACATACCTGCGTAATTATTATCCAGTATGTAGCGTACATTGACTTGCATAATTGAATGATACTTTGTTAAGCAAAGACTCGACTTCAGACACAAGTTTGTCCCGGTACTCGGCGACGTTTTCCCGAGAAATATTGGCACGGCCGGTACATAAGGCATCCCCAGTGCTGTCGTCTGCATAGCAATGAATGCTACCAGTTAGCAACATATCATTGATATGCAGGAGAAACAGCGTTGGTGATGGCACGCAGCCTTGTGGAACACCAGCGTTGATAGGATTGAAATCAGAGCATGCACCGTCTACTACGACCTTGATGCTCCGATCAGCAAGGAAACTGGTGATCAATTTGCACAATTTCTCGGGAAGCCCATAGGAAGGAAGCTTCGAAAGAAGCGCCTTGTGCCAGACCCGATCGAATGCCTTTGCTATGTCCAAACTAACGGCCAATGCCTCCCCCTTGGACTCTACTGCCTCCGCCCATCTATGAGTTAAGTAAACTAGAAGATCACCTGCTGATCGACCCCGACGAAAACCGTACTGACGGTCACTGATCAGCTGGTGATCCTCAAGGTACCTCATGAGCTGGCAGTTTATAATGGATTCCATTATTTTGGAGAACAAGGAGGTGATGGCGATAGGCCTGTAGTTGGACGGGTCTGAGCGGTCGCCTTTTTTAGGGATCGGGTGGACCAAAGCTGTCTTCCATGAATTCGGGACTACGCCTTGGGAGTAGGAGTACCGGAAAAGACGCGTTAAAACCGGTGCCAACTCCGGAGCACATGTCTTCAGCACAATGGGAGGGACTCCATCGGGCCCACTCGACTTGCTGACGTCCAGAGAGAAGAGTGCTTTGCGAACCGAGCGCTGTGTAAATCGCACATCCGGCATGGAGCACTCACATCGCGGGATGGTCTGCGGTGTGTCCCTCCCGTCATCTAGGGTCGAGTTAGACGCAAAAAGAGAGCACAACAGATCGGCTTTCTCTTTTGCGGCATGGGCCAGTGAGTCGTCCTCTCTGTGCAGAGATGGAAGGGATGGCTGACAGAAATTCCCTTGGACAGCCTTGGCGAGAGACCAGAATGCACGGGTTCCCGAAGAAAGGTGAACTGGCTTCTCGCCAATTCGCTTTTGAAGGACCTGGAGGCGGAATTATACTCCTTTTTAATTGCGCTGGTGTTTAAATCCCGAGACGTTGATGCGTCAGCCCAGGCCCGGTAGCACTCCTGCTTATAGCGTGATGCTATTTCACAGGAGCGACCAAACCATGGCTGGGATCTGCCTCCGATGGGCACCACAGAGGATGGAATAAAAAGTTCCATACCCTGAAGTACCACATCAGCAACAGAATCGGCAACAACGCTGGGATCTTCCGGCGAGAAGCAAACCCGCCCCCAAGAGTAAGATGCAAAAAAAGACCGCATCCCGTCCCAATCAGCTGACCTATAGTACCAAACACGGCGGCAAGCTGCAGATCGCAATTGCGATTGGAGCGTGAGTGGCACCGTGCTCCGGATCAGAAAATGGTCCGAAGAGCCCAGAGGGGCATCGACGGAGACCTGATATCCGTCCGGATGAGAGGTCAGCAGAAGGTCCAACAGGGCAGGCACATGGTCTTCCACATCTGGGATCCGCGTAGGCGAAGTAACCAGTTGTGTTAGACCATATGCCAAAGCAAAGTCATAGACAGATCTACCCGCATGATCGGTTAAACGAGAACCAAGCCATTCAGCGTGGTGAGCGTTGAAATCACCGAGTATCACGATCTCTGCGGATGGGACCTGTTGTAGCACGGAGTCTGCAGCTATTCGGACGTGGTCGATGAGTCGGTCTGTGTCGGCATTACCGCTATGGGACCTATAGAGGCACCCGTAGACGCGGGGATGGTCGTCACTGTCTACGCGCAGCCATAGGATGGACAGGTCCGTACCTTCAAGGCTGCCGAGGCGTCGAAAACAGATGTCCTCTCTGACGTATACACAAACTCCAGCCCGGGGCACAAAGGAGTGTTCCAATTTGTATCCCGGGTAGGAGAGATATGAAGTATCAGCCGGAGAGGACACCTGAGTCTCGGTTAAAAAGAGCAAGGCCGGCTTCGCCGTCTCTAGATGGTAATGGACAGCGTTAAGGTTGGAATGAAGTCCCCTGATGTTGCAAAAATTCACGGCTAGCGTGACAGAAGTCGCCTTGGTTGTATTGCTCCGCTTGCCCCGAGCAGCATTAGTCGCGATCGGAATTTTGCCCCCCCCCCCCCCCCCAGAATACGCGGAGCAGCCTGAGCACCCACGCTCAAAAGTGAAGTAGTTTGGTCGTGGATGCTCAGCGAGGGATTCTCCAGGGGTGCTGGTACCCTCCTGGGGTAGTCTTTTATTTAATTCCACTACCATGTTGATGGGGGGGGGGGGGGATTGGGCCTCCGGCCACCTGCACTCACCAAGCGCAACGCAGAGGTAAACCTCTACTTCACGCTGGTATTCTGTGAGGTCGTAGTACCGCCCCGGTTCGAGCTGGCCTATCCGTGCGACAGCAAAAGCTACCGCTTGGCTCTACCACTGGTAAATATATGCTGATTTAACTTCAGAACTTTGTTAGTGCGATTTAAGCTTCGATGTGTTTCGCTAGTAGCGCGACGACAGCGCCGCCACACCCTATTTACTGGTAAAGGGTCCTTCAATCTTGATCCTCCAGGGTAGCATCTTCATTTTGATTATTAATCGAGAATGGATGTGGTTATTTATGGGCCACAGAATCCACTTACCACTAGGTAAGTAGACTGTACCTACTTATTTACCCTATTTACTTAAATAAATAAATAATACGTTTATTTCTAATCGGAATCTTGTTAACAACATAATACTGAGACTTCCCAGGGTGTAATCAGAGGATACTCGTGTTGGGAATGATCTGCTAGATCTCCCTTAAAAATTACATAAAAGTAACATTACAAAAAGTTTAACCTCTAGAAAATTTGTAATTAGTATATTAAGGAGTGTATGAATGTGAGTGTAGGAGTCTTGTTGTATGTATGATGTGGGGATGTGTGTGTATGTGTTGGTGGATCAAGAAAGTATAAGTAAGAAGACTAGTGGCATTGCAAAATAAAATTTTACTGATGAAACATGAAGACGGCATATTGTTAGACTGTTACCTGTAAATGTATAAGATGTTGGTGAGATAGATTTCAGACAATTCTATTTAAAAGAATTTCAACCTCGTCGTAAGTCAGTGTATATAACCAATGCATTAAAGTTTTTTTGCGTGTATTTAATTGCGTAGGATATATTTAAGTATTTTATTTAATTTATAAAAGCAGACTGACATAGGTAGTGTCTAATAGTAAAGACAGTACATACAAGAGGTATAGGCGCCACAATATCAGTTCTTGTCTTTTTTTGAAAGAATTCTTTTAACGGTAGGGATTTATGATATTTAAGAATGAGTTTCAGAACATAAAGCTTAGAGAATCTATAAGGTTTGAAATGCATGACCTTTATAAAAGACCTCTGTGCTCTTTCCAGATCTAAAAAGCTAGTCTTGGTGGCTCCTCCCCAGATTGGGATGCAATATACCTAGTCAGGTCATAAGTATTGTCACACAGTAAAAACTTTTCTTTTAGAATGCTGGCCACAAAAAAGTTTATTGAATTCGAATTTCGAATTGTTCGTGAAAATAAAACTATACTTTTTAGAATTTTACTCATTTTTAAATATGGAGTGGACGCTTAAAGAAGACCGTGTTGCAGTTATTGCGTTGCATCGTTGCGGTTACACGCCAATTCAAATTTTTGACATACTGAAAAATTTGAACATAACCAAAAGATTCGTTTATCGTACCATCAAACGATACAATGAAGACTCTAGTGTAGATGACAGGTCAAGAAGTGGTCGCCTTCGGTCTGTTAGGACTCCAGCAGTGATAAAAGCTGTGAAGGCGCGAATTCAAAGAAATCCCAAACGTAAGCAGAAAC